CTGGCGCGGGGACCGGACAGGGCAAGGTACGTCTGGCGCCCGAACCGGCTCCTTCTCGTTATCTGCGTCTGGCGCGCCCTTTGTGTGGTCTGTGTTTTCCTCCGCGCAGGGGCTGGGAAGGAAAGGCGAGCTCTCCGTGCTCCCCCGGAGCTCCGCAGGGTCCCTTGGTCGGGAGGGGGTCCCGGGGCCCCTCCCGGGTGGGCAACTCCGTTCCAAGCCCACGGGCAGGTGCGCTTCTCCTTCCTCGACGCCGTTTAACTCGGGCGCTCCTTTTGCGATGCTCTGGCCAGAACTGGTGTAACTCCCCGAAATGCCCTTCCCGCCGGACGTGCTGCGGGACAGCCCCGCCCGCCCCGGGCTGCGCTCCCGGCCGTGCCCAGCCCCGCAGAGCTCCGGGCATTGCGCGCCGGACGGGGGTTCTTTTCAAGTATTGATACGGAATCTATTGGTGAACCTTTTGCTTTGCCATGTATCGCTTGTCTCGTTTTAGTCTGCGGTTACAGCCAGTGCTTTAAACTAAAAGAGTAAGACTTCTGTTTTAAAAAGAGACAGTTTTAAAAAGCTATACATTTGCAGCACAGCAACGGTGCATTGAGCAGCCTTGCGTATAATATCTGACTTCTGTGGTTTGGACAGGAGTTACTCATTGAGCATAACAGTTTTGCAGATTATGCCTGTTGATGAAATGTGACCCTAATTTCCTTAGAAGACCAGAAGTTAGTACTGGTTTTTTGATAGTAAATGAAATAATTTTAATCAGATCGTATTTTTTTCAAGAAATAGAAACGATAAAGTGATTAAAGCATGTAACTTGTGCCAGTAATCACACAGACCTGCTTCTAGCCCCGACAGAGATTTCTTTCCTAGATTTGGGGAAGTCACCTATGTCTTTACAACTTACTTTCCTTACATATATCGGGTTTATTAGGTTTACTACAATTTTAGTATGCTTTATATGTATTACATACTTTTTTAAGATTGGTATTTCATATATATATAATGAAAAACCCAGAATGTAACAGGCAGAAAAACTATGGACATTTTAAAATTTTCTCCCTTTGCAGTTTCATTGGAGCTCTAATTTTCATCCCCGTGTGCGGATCTGTTTGCCCATGGGGAGATGGTTTTGCTCTGCCATCTGTTCATTTGGACGTGCTTACGTGGTCCAGGATTTTCTGCCAAAGTTTTAAGAGTTCCTTGGAACTCTGTCATGCTACAGGATTGCTTAACAGTGGAAAACAAATGCTTCCTCTCTTGAGAACTCCAGGAAAAAGGAAAAAGAAGAATTTTTTTATGCTGGAGCTGTTTGGTTTTTTTCCTGAGCAGCAGCAAAGGCGCCTGTCTATGCTCAGTCACATTTCATCTCTTCCCAGAATGTGAAGAACTCAGCTCTTGAATAATAGTCTTCTCAAGCATTTATAAGAAATTTATCTTTCTGATATGTCTTTTATTGCTAGATGACTAGTAACTGCCCGAGAGGTTTTGACACTCGGAAGAGTGTTTCCATTCTGATCTTCTATTTTCACTAACAGTGTCCTTATCCGTTACTTCTAAGATGGAAATTTTCTACGTTAACTCTTAGAAGCTAGTTTTAGAGAGTGGTCAGTCATGCACGTGGGAATGGGAGAAATCATGGCTGGGCTTTGCGAACGAAGATTTGGGAAGGGCTCTACCCACATTTGCTACAAGCACACTGGTGGCTAAAGAGGCCAATGCGAGATAGACAAGTCCGGTTGCAAAAGGCACAGCAAAAGGACTCCTTGGACAGTATTGGCAAGACACGATTCTTTCTGTGTTGTCTTTTCTCCTCAGGGGTGATCCTGTGTGCGTTCTCAAAAGCATCAGCAGCATTATAGGTGGTGTGTCTCCAGGCCTCCCGATTGGAGGCCAGAGTAGACCAATGATGAAGATCAATATGGCCAAGGCTGAGGTGTTGTTTCAGGGAGTCCTTGTATCTGCCCACATGTGTCCTGACAGAAGGTCGCTATGTTCTCCCTATGCTAATAGCTAACGATTTTATACGGCAGCAGAGTTTCTGATCCCTCACCAGTTTCTTTCCTCTTGTGTGCTGGTGGGACTTGCCTTTTCAGACATGTGAAGGGGTGGTTCTGTGGCTGGGGCAGAGGGTATCCAACCACCATCCACAAATACCTTCCAGTGATCTGTGCTACTTCAGAATCTGACAAAGCTTCTGTAGAATGTCCAACACGTCTCTCCTGCTGACAGAGATCTTAGGAATTCTCTCCTCTTTACTCTGTCACACCGAGAGAATCATGATGCTCTGAAATAAACACTAATGTGCCACCTGGGAACTTTACGGGTGTAAACAGAGCAGCTGTAGCTGGCTGGCAGCAAGAACACTGTGTCCTGATGTGGAGGTTAGAAAATTCTAAGAGGATGAGAGGAAGGGACCAAAAAGTTGTGTGTTAACAATGTGCTGCTGAACAAATTTTATCCCTCTTTATACAGAATGCAAAGCCAAAAGCATATTAGTTAGCATGACTTCACCTACAAATATACCAAAATTTTAAATGCCTCACGTCCATTTGTAGTGATATGAGAGCTGGTAGCCATATTTTATGCAGAATACAGACTTCCACTAAGTGGCTGCGTTGCATCAGCAAAGAAATCTTGGGGAGACATGCTTTTTTTTTAAAGTCTGAAGTTAATTATTTCACCCGTTTTCAGTTTACCTGAATAAATGGCTTTGCTATGCTTACGGAATTCTAATAAGTAAAAGCTGCATAATTTTCCTTCTCCCAAGTTTAACTGGTTATACCATGATTGGGTATGTGCTTTATAACCTCTAATTATTTACCGGTTTAATGAATCTGCATTCTGTTGGAGCAATGCTCAGAGTTCTTTGCTAAAATTTTTTTCAAGAGGGTAATATCCATATTATCAACCTACAGGTGACAGGACTTGAGGAAAACATTTTAGTCAATAAACCAGGCACTTCATTCTTAAATTCTTTCAGTTATCTGAGTGGAATCATAGGGCTTTGGTGACAGTGTCACTGATTTTGGTCTAGTGCTTATGCTTTTAATACCTCACATGCTAGCAGCTTTCCTTTTCTAGTAGCTGAAGAGAGTAGGTCCACTGCCAATGTCAGTCTTGTATCCTCTGTCATTAAAACTTAGCAGAAAAGTCTTCTAGCTCATTTGTATTCTCCTTATTCTTCTATGTGTCTTGTTGTTCATGAGTGCATTTTAGGTGCAGGGTGTGGGAATTAGGCACAGCAGGGAATCTGAATCCCAACATCTAGCAGAGTGGTAGGAAATGCTACATACACCCTTACCTTAACTAGCACAGGGATGTAAGCTCATAATAATGTTTGCTGTTGGCAGAACTGCATCACAGCTTTTCCTGCTGAACCTGACCAGTGTCAATGATGGCAAGACTCGTAAGTGCTGCACCATATACCCTTTGGATCTTTTTCTTTTCATATGCAACAAATGAAGGTATGTTTGTCAATATTTTAGATTATTATACTGAAGTTTTCATTGACAGCATTTTTCCATGACCAGTAGGCAATGCTATTACCACTAATTAAGTACTATAAAATTTGTAACTTCAAATGTCATAAATAGCCTTATACTAGAATAAATTCTTAGATTTTATTCTTTGCATTGAACTTTTCCATAGGGTCTAGAAAAATTAGAAATTTGCAGAAAGGAGAAACACGTTTGGAAAGTCATTTCCTTCTGCATTATGTGATCTGCACTGGACACCTCTGAGATGGGCTCGGTTAGAGCATGGTGCTAATAATAATGAGGTTGTGGGTTCCATCCCTGT